TTTTTTTTTTTTTTTTTTTTTTTTTTTTTTTTTTTTTTTTTTCTTTCCAACCTCTCAGGCCCAGCAAAGCAATCCAAGCAAGCTGGGACGTGGGGAGAACGCCTTCCTCGTGTGCCACGCCGGGGATTTGTGCCGCATCTTTCATGCACGCTGCCTCCAGCCTCGAGGCTGGAGCATGTAATGGGGATCGGGAGGAAAGTGTTGCTTGCAAGGGGAGCCTGATTGAAGAGATGGCTCCGGGCTGGATTTTAAAGTGGATGCAGTGAGTCAGTGAAGTAGAAAAGTGTTTGCAGAGCGCTCCCGCACCACCACTTCCCACAGAGAGCGGAGAGGGGACGATGGAGCGGAGGAAAGAGGGCGTTTGCCCTGGGTGACGCCGGGGCTTTTCCAAATTCTCCTCTTTCTTCTGGCGGGGTTTTCCTCCAGAGGCACAAAGACAATTGGGAACAGAAGGTGCAGAAATGGGTTCCGGAGTGGGGAGCAGCCCACGGGTGGGATGCGGGGCCAGGCAGAAGGACATGTGCCTGCTTCCTCTCTCCCCCAGCCCCACGGGCACTGGGGATGGTAATAAGAAGCTTTCTGTGAACCGAAGGGTTAACGAATGTCAGAGTCACCCTCTGAGGTCAGTGGGTTTCTGCCACCCCCTTCCCGAAAGCCTTTACATAAGAGTCTTGCAGAATTTATAGCACAGCCTCAGCTGTGCCGTGCTGGAGCCACGACCAGGCTGCTCCCCTGGAACTGCCAGCGCAGATCCCTGGCCGTGCTCATTTGGGGAGGAAAATGGGATTTGATTTCTGCACCAGTCACTGTCTCTCACTGTTAAAATGGGACCTGATGGGCTCAGCCCCCCCCCCGGCTTGCCCACGCGATTCAGCGCATACATCGACCTTGAATGTCCCCCCTCCCACCCTCAGCATCTCAACAGAGCGGTCCCGAGGCTCCCTGGGTTGTCGCACCCCAGGCCTGCTCCCAGGGCTAGAGATGGTGTTTTAGGTGTAAAACAATGAAAAAAAAAGTATCTGGAAGCCTCAAAAGCACCGTGGTCTTGCGGTCCTGTTCACATCAGTCCTTTGTGTCACTGGAGAGTGGAGGAGACGTTGAAAGATGTCCTCTCTGCTGCTGCACAGCGCCGCGCCTTCCCCCCGAGGCTATCCCGGAGCATCCTCAGCTCTAGGACTCGCCCTCGACTAAGAGGGGCCGGGGGCCACCAGCGAGGCGAGGACGTGGCCGTCACAGTGACACAAACAACTCGGGCACCGGAGGAGTGAGATGCTGCTTTTCCATTCCCCTTTCTTTCCCTGGGAGAAGGGCTTTGCTGGCGCCCGTGTCACCTGCTGTCACTGGGTGAGGAATAGCACGTGCCACCCAAACCCCCCTCTCCTCCAGCCTCGGCTCCCCAGGAAATCCTGCCTCCGCGCGGCACTGGGCGCTGTTGTCTGCAGCAGCTTCTCTCTGCGATGGCAGGAGGGGAAGCAAAGCCAGGGCTGCCGCTGCCCTTCCCCGGCAAG